TAGCCAGTGGCAAATCTAAATTAGAGCTTTTTGTCTCAAACCCCCCCCCCCCCCGTCCTACCCCCTCCCTCTATGTCATTTACTTTTTGCCTTTTAAAAGACCATTTCAACTGCCACGAGACTCCACTCTCTTGTTTGGCTGGAAATATGGCGACACATCCCTGCGAGTGGCTACGCACTGTTTGCTGGGCTTTGCTCACATTTGTTCCTCAGCCTGGAGAGCTTGTGATTTCAGCTTCTGTAAACAAGAGCACTGGAACCACTGTGGTCTCGGGTCTGTGTTCTTAGTACTTGCAGTGACATGGCATTTTTTTCTTTTTTTTTGTTAAAATCTCGATCCATCTGTTTGCAAAGCTGGTGTCATTAGTACAATGTAGTCTACGGGGACAAAGCCTTCCTCAGTGAACTCGGACACAGTGTGTGGGAAAATTAAAAACCAGCATTGTAGTTTCTTTTTTTTTAATAGATTAGAAAAGTAAATAATCAATTATTTATTTATTTATTTTTTAATACTTTAAAATCTACGATGTAGCCACATATTGATACAAATCTCTGGTGTTGAGCTGACCTTTTGGGATAACATTGAAAATAGAGGGGTGAGGCCCAACTTCTGTGTCATAAGTGTTATTAAATTGTATTGAAGACACAAGGATATTCAAATTTTGCTTTTGAAAAAAAAAAAGAACCACAAATCCATGATCACCAGTTAGAGGCCCGCAGGCCGAACCAAGCCCGCTAAACTGTCCAATCCGGTCCACGACTGGATTCTAAAGCTGTGAGGATCAAAGGGAAATATCATGTGGTTCCCACTATAAAACTCACTGAAAAAAAAAACAACAACTAAGACTGTATCTGACCTCCAAGCTGTCTGTACAGAAGTATTCTGGCATTCTGACAAATATAGTTGGTGACTCGCCCCATGAATACATACAGTAATATACAAATATACTAAAATACTAATTTTATTTTTTTTGCTTCCTACATTTTGACTTTAGGCTTAGAGCTGCAGACAGTGTTTGGAAGTCATTAAATACTTATAATATATTCACTGCCGATGTACATTGATGGGTTTGATGAGATTTGTTGACAACAAATAATAGCAAATAAACGTCCCTGAGAATAATAACATGGGCGGAGAGAAGAACCGATATATTCCAACGACTCCTTGAATTACAGGAGGACTGATGAAACACTGTTTATCTTCACGCCTCAGTGAAGATGCTACGAGCACTCGGTTTCTGTTCATCACAATTCATGTCCGCTCACAATTATTAATTTCACCGCCCCTTCCTCCTCCCCCTCCTCTGTTTCTCACACAGATCGAGACAATAGGCGATGCCTACTGCGTGGCGGGAGGGCTTCACAAGAAGGTCGACAGCCATGCAAAACCAATTGCACTCATGGCTCTGAAGATGATGGAACTCTCTGAGGAGGTGTTGACACCTGATGGGAAACCTATCAAGGTGAGTTTCCATTCATTCTAATAAAAAAAAACCCACTTTTTTTCAACCTTTGGCTGGGTTTGCGACTTATACTCAGGTTGGACTTATATATTAAAATATACAACTTCACATGTTTGTTATTTTCACACTGACAGCGCTAGAGGGCACTCTAGGTTTTTTGCACCAGTATCTGCTACTCCTGTGCCACTGAAAATGTACATGTTTTTTTTCGCACTGAGAGTCAGCTAGAGTGCCCTCTAGCTGGCTAGCTAGTGCGACTTATACTCCAGGGTAAAGATTTAAAACTATTTGTTACTCGGCTCACTTTCACTTTCATAAATATAAATCAAGTTAAAAAGAGGGAAGTACAGTAGTCCCTTGCTGTGTCCGTTTCGGCTGTCACCGAAATGTATTCTTGTATTGCGGATTTTTTGCTGTATCGCGGGTTTTTGCAGTATATAAAAATGTTTAAATTTCCAATATTTTGATTTGTTTGCGTAAGCAAATTAAACACTTTCTAAAAAATAGTAAAAACAAAAACGTATGGGTAAACGAGATTTGTGACAGTAGAAACTACAATGTCTCATAAAGGGTTCGTCCATCCATCCATCCATCCATCCATAAAGGGTTAATATTGGTTAATATATACATATATATACATACATATTCGCCTATCGTGGTCGGTCTTGGAACGATAGACGAGGGGCCGCTGTATATAAAATATATCTAATTTTGTGCGTCTTGATTGACGTCTTTGATCACATGACTCCACAAGTGACAGCTGCTAAAATGTCTCTTGGGGTGACCAGAAATATATGATGTCAAAAAGTCAAAAAAGGTTGGAAACCACAGATGTCAACGATAAAGTACACAAGTCTCAGCTCTGGTCTGGAAACAAAAGAAAAAGACCGAGAGCAACAAACATAAGAAATAACCAACCCCCGTGTTCCTTCAGGCAGAATAATAAAAATGTAGACTTCTTCCTGCTAGGAAGAGAAAAACAGAAATCCTACTGAGCACCAGGAGGGAAACGCCACACTTATATGTCTCTACTCAACAGATATATGGGTTTATATTGTCTCTTTATGTTTTTTTTTATTATCCCCAGGTACTAAGTCAAAACATTTTCTCCTTTATACACGATGGTTTTACTGATGTTATCTCTGCAGATGCTTTTTTTAAAAAAACGTATTACAGCATGTATGAAAATGAATGAAATATTTGTTTCTTGACATTTTTATTTTTATTATTTGTATTTGTTTTTTACTACTGGCACCAAAAATCTATGAGAATCTTTGAGAATTCTAAAAATGAAAATACAACTAAATCGCAAGTAACAGTGGATGGAATATTACAACCTGCTCTCTGTTTGTAGTCAGTTATGTCATTATGACAACAGTAGGGTTTCCACGTATGGTATCATGCGTGTACGTACAACTTAATTGCACCTTTTGCACCGTGTGGGTGGAGGTGTTGGATGTTTAGTGCTATTTTTGCACCATCTGGCTTTTGTTGGTGTTTGTGGTCTGAATTCGACTGGAACTTTTGACACTTTGCAACTAATATTCCTTACCTCTGACCTCTAACTCAGGGGTGTCAAACATACGGTCTATGGGCCAAAATCCGGCCCGTTTGATCCATTTTGAAAGTGAAAAGAAAAATGCACACTTCATGTTATTGATGTATGTCAAATGATATTACATTAAATATGAATATCTTCTAATATACTTCTTATTGGCATGAAAACGAAGGGACAAATCATAGACTTATTGTTGTTTATAGGCAATTATGTTATGACTGTACTGGTCCGACCCACTTGACATCTAATCAGGCTCCAGGTGTCCCCCGAACCAAAACAAGTTTGACATCCCTGACTTAAACTAACAACTGCTCATCACGATGAATCAGCAAAGAGACCGCTTGACAATCCCACAGACCTATTTTCCGACATCACTTTTTCACTCGTCTCCACACTCGTGCGTTGGTCACGTAACATTAGAGCTGTATCAGTTCTTATCACGTCGTGATCGTGATCCACGTTCAACAGTGCGACATCTGAAATTTGAATTTGGACTTTTCTCAGTTGTAATTAAAAAAAAAAATCAGGTGTAATCGTGTTTCAACTAAAATACGAGATACAGACGAAAGGTGTTGCAACCCTTATTGTCCCCCCCCTCTCTCTCTCTTCTTGTTCCTCTGCAGTCTTAATTGTGCTATTGTTTCACTGTCCTAGGGCTTTCTGATTTATTTCCACTTTATTCCGGCATGTGGGGGAGCTACAGAGATACTCAGCACTTCACTGTGCTGGCCAATGAGTGCACTTAAAATCAGCCTGTGCTGCACTGTTCAGAAAACTAGTACTAGAGCTGGGGAGAGAGAAAGCGTTGCGCAAGAATAGAGTACGTGGGGATATGGAGATACAGTACATATACAGCTTAGAGTACTGCATGAGGGTCAAAAAGTCCCAAGACAAATGTTATCATTTTAAAAAGCGTTTGATTTTAATACACGTTATAACGACACGTTATCATGCCTTCAATTTTAAAGGGCGTTTAATTTTAATACACGTGTTATAACGACACGTTATCATGCCTTCACCAACCATCGCATTTTTTACTTCAGTTTAAATTGAATTGTAAAAAGTATTGAAGCTTCACAGCAGGTTTTGTCCAACTATTTGTTTCCCTAGTGTTTTTTTTTTGACGTGCCTAATATGATATGTGCACCACAGTAAGATGTTACAGTTGCCTCACAGTCAAAGGTCTTAGTCCAGGTTGGGATCGTGAACTCTCTAAGTCAAGTTTTCGTGTCCGTCCTGTGTGTCCATGTGTTACTCTGGCTAATCCAACTTTTCTCTCAGCTCCAACCGCAGTATATTTAGGATTAGGTTAATCCTAATCTTTGTAAGAAACTCTCCAGGGTTTTTTTTTTCTGCCTTTTTAAGCAATGTTGGTAGAGAGCGATTAAATGGAAAATGTCTCTATAACAGAGTGTTGATCTAAGTTAGTCAAAGGGCCAAAACTAAAATTACAGTGTAAGGTGTGGGCCAAACAGGGTTAACATTGTTTGTATGCATATAGATAATAAGCTCTGGTGGGCGTGACAGGCCACATTTGGCCCGCGAGCCTTGAGTTTGACACATATGCTCTAAAATATAAGTCTGGTTTACAGGTGATAACTTTGGTAAATGGTAGATGATAATGATAATAATACAACTTTTCCAGGCTGTGATTGGATGGTCCACCTGTCACTCACACTGGATGTCCAATCATATAAGCCTCCACTTAATTTTGGCTAGTTTTAACACATGATTAGAGGATTCACATATATGACTATAAATGTATATGTTTATACACATATATGTTATATATATATATGTTGTGTTTATACACATATATGTTTATATATATGTTTATGTATATTATTTTTATAAACATATTTGAAACAATCATTACATCTGGTATATAAATGTATCAGCACCGAATCTCTATAGTCTCTAATTTCTACTTGTCTTAGTTGGGGTCCAACATCTTCTAAGTCCCCTCCCCACCCCCCTCTCCTCCCTCCAGTTTGGCTTGAGGCTAGGATGTGATTTGTTGTCTGTGATGCTGCGCCACTTGCTCATTGGCTCGTGGAGAACCATGTGCTGCAGATGCTGACTCATATAGCAACAGAGGGAGGGGGGGGGGGGGAGTGTTACCCTGTCTGTGTTTGGAGATTAAAGAAATGAAGAGGAGAGTGGGCGCTGGACACAACTGATTTGTTTGTGTGTCTGTGAGCCGTTGGTTGTCTTTTGCCGAGACAGACGAGTGTACGGCCATCTGTAGGCTGCTGAAAAATAGGTCACGTACCAGCACATTCTCTCTCTCTCTCTCCCTCTCTCTCTCTCTGTCAATACCTGCAACTCTCAAATTCTTCAACTCTCCTGCAGTAATGTTTAGGTTTTACCAATTTTTTTCCCCCAGCTGTCCTTGCGTCAGTCACCATCTTGTCTCCCTCCTGTCTCCTTTGTCTTTTATTTTTTGACTTTCTGTCCGTCTCTGTTCTTTCTACCTCACTACCCCCATTGCCTGTTGTTGCCATGGCTACCTCAACAGTGTGTCGGCATGCAAAGAGTTGCATTGGTTACCAAGGTGATGAGATGCTTCAGTAGATCTTAGGAAATCTGCATCAGTCCACTGTGGTTGGATTATTAATACTGAATGTGTGAATTATAGTGTTTGCATTTTGTTTACTAGATAAACAGCGGTTGCTTCAATGTGTCAACTGTACTTGAAAGATTTTACTATCCAAAAATGATAGTGGAGCTAATTTAGAACAGCTGTTATGTTTAGCATTTTTACTAATTTCTGGCTCTAAAACTTTATTGAACCGTATTTTCCGGACTATGTCACTCTGGAGTAAAAGGCGCACCAGCCAAAAATGCATAAAGAAAATAAAAACAAACATATATAAGTTGTTCTGGAGTAAAGGTCGCACCAGTGCCCTCTAGCGGCTGTCAGTATGAATATAACGAAGATGTAAATTTTCAGTGGTACAAGAGTAGCAGATACTGGTACACAAGCCTAGAGTGCCCTCTGGCGGCTGTCAGTGTGAAAATAACAAACGTGAAAATATATATTTTAATATATAAGTCGCACCTGAATATAAGTCGCAAACCCAGAAAATTTGTTAACCCTTATCATTATTGCGGACGGGTTAGCCGGCTAACGTTTGCTCTAGTGTCTGTTGCTGCAAGCAGACAGATTTTAGATTAAAAAAAAAACAAAAAAAAAAACGTTGTTGTACAATTGCCCCCATCCATGCTGTGATCAGGTAGTTTGAAACATATACTTAGCTTAGGCCAAACAACCCTAACAATGCGATGTTATCTTCAATCACTGTTTATCAAACAAATGTATTGTCCTTCAATGTCCCCGATAGCGTTCAAACCACTCCCTGGTCTGGAGTGGAATTAAATGTGTTTATTTTTGTTCTATTGTCTGTAATTGCTTTATGGTAATTAACGTGTCAAAGTCATCATACATAATGATATATTTTTTCAAAACCTCTCTTCAAACGATTGTACTATACATTTTCGTCCACATCATTCTCCCCCTCCTCTCCTCCCAGCTGAGGATAGGTATCCACACGGGCTCTGTGCTGGCCGGGGTGGTGGGGGTTAAAATGCCCCGCTACTGCCTGTTTGGGAACAACGTGACCCTGGCCAGCAAGTTTGAATCAGGAAGCCATCCTAGGTGTATCAACGTCAGTCCGACAACTCACCAGTGAGTATCTGTCCTCTGATATCTAAAAACAGGATGTCTTCTCTACGGACTTTTACCAATCGTCTCTTTTTCTGTCCTCAGGTTACTGAAAGATGACCGCTCGTTCTCATTTATCCCTCGCTCGCGACTGGAGCTCCCTGAAAATTTTCCCAAAGAGATCCCAGGGACGTGTTATTTCCTGGAGGCGGGGACATCTCACAGTCACGCCTCCCTGACCAGCTCTCGCTCTGCTCCCCCAGCCTCTATGAGGAAAGTTACCTATAGCATTGGGACAATGTTTCTAAGAGAAACCAGCCTGTAGATCCCACACGCAGACCTGAGAGGACGGAGTCAGACTTGGAGGACGTGAATCAGTGAACCTTGGATTTTTTTTTTTTGATATGCAATCAGTTAAGCAGAGACTCAGATTAAGGCCTTAGGAGAGAAGGCCTGTGAGGATCAAACTAAAAATGCTCTTGTCAGAGAGGAAACTAAAAACCATGCACATCTCTCGAGAAGGAGGCAAGGCCTAAAAAACGTGCTATCATGCTACTCCAATGGAAATTTCCCCAAGGGAATGCACCGTTCATTCAATCAATACAGATAACACCAAGCTAAATATCTAGCTAGATTCCATAGCTCTATACCTGGTGTCCAGCTTTCTCCCCCAGTGGCCGCAGTAAGGAGATGAAAACGAACGAGAGACCCTTGATCCCTTGTGTTGCATTACTACGGCGTTTAAAAAAAGAACAATTTCAAAACTGTGTTAAAGTGAACACCGATGGATGACATTTGGACAAACGCCGACGTCCAAACGTTAATGCAAATGTCTGCTGCGCATCAGGACAAAACATGAGGACGACCGCTGCCGAAGAACACGACATCTTTACTTCACCCTTCGTTCGACGGTCCCTGAATCACGTCATGGTTTATTTAACACACACACACACATTACACATGCTGCTCACAAGTGCAGGTCCGCCAGGACGGAGGAAGGACGGATGACAGCCGCAAACAAGCAGAGAGTTAATAAAGTAGTAATGCAGAATGGCTAAGCCCATCTCACAGCCTTTGTTGCTTCGAACACACAAAATAATTAAACTTAAACCCCAGCCCGCCGTCTGATTTGAGGTCAACAATTTAGGACAAGTATTCTCAGCTCAGTGCCTTCGAATTGCTCAAAATAGGACGAGTGCAGGAGGAAATCATTTTCTTGTTTTTTTGTTAAAAAATTAGTTAGAATGTGCAAAACAAATTGAGCGCTTCTTCTACTTCTATTACAACTAGCTTTTATTGGAAATACCGTCGACATCAGTGTTTCAGTAACTGCACTAAACCAGCCAAATTTTATTGCGGTACTTTTTAGGTCCTGAAGCAGTACTTTTAAGTTTGACGCAAAAAAAAAAAATGCCCTGATTCATTGTATGTACATCATAATAATTTCACATATGCATATATTATCTTATGTATTTGTATTAACATCTGTAGCAAAAACTAAAAAAACAATACACCCAGGAACGTCGATCAAACCTGTATCTACATCAGGCATACATGCATTTTGATCAGTAAAAATTTCTGGCATTCCCAATAAAAAACTAATTATAAAGATACAAAGTAGGGATGTCCAATATTAACTTTTCGACAAAATCCGATATGCCAATATGCGGTATTGTCCAAACACTTAATTTCCGATATCGATATATATATGCAGACGTTAAACGTCTTAGGACCCCACATGGATTCCAGTATACAGTGGAGCCCCGAGATACGAGCTCCCCGAAATACGAATTCCAAATTATGAGAAAGCAACTTTTGCGAGTTTTTCCTCGTGATTCGAGGAAACATCAAGTTACGAGTGCTCAATAAGCAACTTTTGCGAGTTTTTGCTCGTGATTCGAGGAAACATCAAGCTACGAGTGCTCAACCGAGCTCCATTTTTCCACTGTCTCGCTCACTGTCCTTCGTTTGGTCATTTTGCCCGTCGCTTTATTTCTCTCTCTCTCTCTCTCTCTCCTCACTCCTACCTTAGTGGCCCGACACTCTGTCGCGTCTCTCTCACTGTCCCTCGCTGCGTTATTTTAGCCATTTTTAAAAACAATAATATAAAATGTTTTCTTAATTATTACTATTTTATATTAACAATATATTTGTTTATATCTATGTTTTTGATGTTTAGATGGGGGAGATTTTAATTGAATTAATTAATAGTATATTTCTGGGGGGCTGGATTGAATTAAGGTTTTTAGTTATTTTTAATGGGGAAACACGAGTGCTTTTGTAGAACGGATTAGACTGGTATCTCGGGGGGCCCCACTGTATTAGGCGAAACCCAGGAATTGCGTTCTCGGATTTTCACTATTGGATTATTCAGTATTATTGGTGGTTATTATTGGTCTTTTATATGTAACTTTATATTTTGACGGAAACCGAAACATTTTTATTATTATATCATCCCTGATAAGGTTTAGTGAAAATGATATTAACCTGACAGTGTCATGTCATAAGAACGTGAGACGTCATTTTAGAGCCTAAAAGAAGCTAAAAATGTTACTGTATTTTAGTTGTTTACTTCTGCCAAACAAAGTCATGTAAGTCTGTGAAGGGTTCCCCTACTTCTTAACATTGTGCCATAGAAATGAGACCGACACCAGCAAAACAAAGACGTGCCATCGTAGAAGGAAAACAACAGAACCTGGCAAATTCAAATCGCAAATTCAAATTGTGTTTGAGTCCCAGTCAGTTTGACCTGGTATTAGATTTGATGAAGTCATCATATTTAACCATAACTGCTGAAAACAACAACATTCTACTGATGTTATTTAGCTCTGAAAGAATTGTTTGAAAGTATTTTTGTGAGATGCGCAGTCCAAGGGACAGATGGGTGCAGAGTCGGAGGGGTTAGCGCTGAACTCTTTCATTGTTTTCAAGTGCAATGGACACAACAAAGTAGTGTTGACAGTAGATCCAGGTGGATGAGAACCTGGAGAACCCTCCTTAAAGAACATCGTCTACCCTGGTGCAAACATTGTCTTACTACTGAAACTATTGTAGCATTAACGTGGAGCTGGTACTGTATCGTTTCCATTCAACGTCAGCAGAGTCTAAATCCTGCAATCAGGCTAAATAAAGGATGTTACACCAGCATTACACCCACACAACTTGTGTCCAATGCTCGTGCGTCTCCAAGTTGGTAAATTCCTGGCCTAATATTAGTCATTTGGTCAGAACCTACAGATCCGTTCTGCTGCGGAGGTGGAGCAGGTATGTGTTCGCCACAGCGATGTCGTCAGTCGCTGACCATAAACATTTATTAGAGTATTATAACTCACTCATATGACGGCAATAACGCTACTCTGTATATGCTGTGTTCAACAGTGCAATGCAAACGCCTGTGTTTCGATTCCGTGACCATTCAGAAGTGAACACAAATGTTGTCATTAGCGTGAGGTGATTCGGGCGGGTGACAAAAACAAAGCCAAAAACATTCATAACACCAGACAGTGTGTGCGTGCGTGCGTGTGTGTCTGTGGGATAGATTTGTATCATTTTAAAATATAAAATGTATCCAACTGATCCATTAAAATGTAATTAAATTATATATTTGATTTGTTGAAAAATAGGTTTGTTGAAAAATAGGTCACATGAACGTTTGAGGTTTTCACATTTTTCACTGTTTCTCTGCTCTTTAGGTCACATTTGTTTTTCTTCTCGTTCCAAAAATAATCTTTAAAAAAAAAAAAAGACACTGGTTTCAATGTCTAAAATCAAATTTTATAATCTTTAAAAAAAAAAAGACATTGGTTTCAATGTCTAAAATCAAATTTTAACATTTTCTCTTTCGAGATTTCAGTGTGTTTGACTGTTACTAAGTCGTTAAACCAGAGGGAAGATTTGTTTAGCCTTTTCCTTTGAAATGCCGTCATCTTTTTAGGAAGGATGTTAAAAAAGCCCTGGCAACGTTTCTACTTAAATTGAGCCTTTTTTTTTTTTTGAACGTACATATTATTCCAATCTGTTTGCATTCATTCATATAAGAAAGTAAATACTTTAATATATGTCCATCGGCCTATTTCAAAAGAAGTAAATAACAATATTTCTCTGACATTTTTTTTTTCAGACGTTTCACGAAAGCTATGAAAAAATGTTGTTTTTTTTTTGTTTTTTTTAAAGTTTGATGTCAGGTTGTAATCATAGAGCACTGAATCTGAAGATGAGTCAAAACTACAAGTTTTTTTGGTTTACGACTGACAATGACTGACTTCTGTCCTACATGATGTAAATAAAACACCAAGTATCTTTAATAGGAAGAAACGTATATAGATATTTATTTGTGTACATGCGGTAACTCAGTGTCTGTGTGTGTGTCAACTGAAACATTAAAAAAAGTAATCCTTAACGTTCCTTTAAAAACATTAAAAACGCCGGTGCAAGATAATTCAATTTGTAACAAAATGCTAATATTCACCTAAGATTTATCTAAAACTTTTCTATAAAAAACAAAAAATAAATAAAAAAATGGAGAACAAGTTGGCCCCCTGGTGGGGTTGTGAGGTACTGTACCAGTATGAATATACTGTATATTGTTATCTAACAGCCCTGTAAATAATTCAAATGCCCCAGAAGTTTTTCCAGATCATAACTTGTTATTTTTCAGTATTTTCTATTAAATGTCAAAGGTTTTTTATATTAAGAAATAGTCTTGCACTGCAATTTTTCAATTACTGATAATCTCCTGAAAAAAATCAATATAGATGTACTACTTAAAACTTAACTTCTTAAAACTTGCCTTTACTGGGAAAAAAAAACAGTTAAAATATTTCTTGGTATTCTCATAAATTTGTTTTCTTAAACATGAATAGTTTAGAAACGGATGCCTGCAATACACTACAAAAGAAATTTAGCATGGTAAGACTGGGTATAACAGGAGCATCGACCAAAGGCTCAGTCTGTACAGAGAGCACATGCTAATGACTCTCATCATCATCTTCATTAGCTACTCTGTCAGTAGCATCTGCAGGACTGCACCAATCAGAAAAGACTTCAGAGCGAGGGAAGTTATTTTTCAAAACATTCTTTCAGCTGCAGGGTTAATGTGTGTGTCTCTGTGTGTGTTTTCCTTTTTAGCTTTGAAGTTAGCCTGACCAGAAGGTCTGGACAGAAGTCCGCAGCTGATGAAACAGTACGTGTGTTTATGAGCGTGTTTGCACAGGCCTGAAAAATGGCCAATGTTATCCAAGGATAGCCTCTCGGTCGCCTCCCACTTCCTGGAACATCACGTAACTTTATTACCGTGGCCTCATTAAACACTCATTTGGACCAATCAAATCTCTCGGTAATCAAATTCGGTGGCATAAATTATGAGAGAAACCCATTATTACTGCAAACATCAGCTAATTAGAGCCGGGGACATACCACCTGCTGTCTGGTTGTACAGCATGATCTCTGTCAAACTGGTGTGTGTTACTGGACAAACAGGAGGAGTGGGGAAGGTGGAAAAATATTTGAAAATATCTTCAAATTAAAAAACTAAACAAAACAAAAAAACCCACAAAGAACAGTGAGTAAGGCGGAAAATATTTATAAAATATTTTTAAAATAAAAATCATATTTGTTTTACCTTTTACTAAAAGTCGCAATCAGTGCAAACATATATATATATATTTTTTTACACCTTAAATGTCTTGACGTTATCAAGAAAAATTGCACCTAATATCATTAATCATGAAAGAAGCAGCCAGGAGTGAGGAAGGTGGGAAATAATTTAAAATATCTCTAAATAAAAAAATCATAAAAAAACAAAGAACAATGAGTAAGGTGAAAATATTTATAAAATATTTTTGTATATAAAAAATAAAAATCGAAATCATATTTTTTTAACCTTTTGAACTAAATGTCAAAATCAATGCAATTACTATTATTATTATTTTTTACACCTTAAAAGTCTCGAGAAATTTCAATAATATAATTTATCATGAAAAAAACAGCCAGATTCTCCACCTGGTTCTCTTCATTTTGTCACAATTCACAGTGCATTGTCCTTTTACCGAACCCGCACTTTAAAAATTAAATTTCAAAGTCGTGTCCACTTGAATATTTCCCCTCGTCCTTCACCAATTTATAAAGAAAAATCCAAAAGTGAAGAAAAAACATTTTTCTTCAAAATTCCTTGCCTCAGAGTTGTCTCGTGTGTTTTTCTTCAAATGGAACGTATAAACACACAAGTGACTATGAGTTTAATAAACACACGCTGTACTCAGCGTGTATATAGTGTGTGATGTTTTATTATGGACACCGCTGGCCCTATGCCCACGCACACAGAGTTGAAACACAGTTTAACAGCAACCATTCCTTTGACCTTTGTGACATTCTTGACCTTTGTGAGCTTGTGAGGCATTCATCTTCTTCAGC